CCAGGGGCTATATTAGGTTCTTCAGTTCCCTCAAAGCAACAACTTAAAAATAACCATGGTTTGTTCTTAAAAGAATTCTAGGTAGCTGCAACCTTTCAATGGAGTAGCAGTCTAATAGGAAGAGATTCTATACTGTGGCTATAGCAGCTAGGCTTTGAGAAACTAAACTGGATCGTTGTACCTAAAATCCCCAGCTTGCCCATTAGAAGTTAAACTCTAGAAACAGTAATGAACCATTAAGTTTTCACCATTTAAAAAAAAGCTTTATCAAAAAAAAAAAAAGCTTTATCATGCACCTTCACTCATTCTTCTCTTTGCTCTCAATATACATGTTTCCTTCTTGCATGTAGAAAATATTTTCAGTGATTTTTTGACTCTTCAGCAATGCAAATCTCTGCCCCCTATTCCCCTAGTTCCTTCTTGGTAAATAATGTTAATTTTCCAATAGGAGGTGGAGTACATTATCATCAAGCACCATTTATCTAACCTTCTTACGCACGAAGAAAGTTATGGGGCCATGGTATACACCTGGAATTCCTTAAAGATACTTACTTTCTAGTAAAATACTTGTATTTACACATATACATTATTTTTAAAATCTGTGAAGAATTCACTGAAGCATTAAATCACCTTTTATTGAGAAGCTAAAAATGTATCAAAATGCATATAACAATAGCTAATCTAAATACTATCTCCTATCAAATTATCACCATCCTCCAAATCTAGAGCATATGCAGGCATAAACTGTACTACTCACGGTTAAGTGTGAAACCTTGCTTCGAAACATTGCTATTAATTCTCAGAAGACATACACTAGAACCACAGGAGTAACTGGAAGGCAAGTGGCTGAGGAATACAGTTAGAAAACAAAGCTTTGAGTGCTCAAAGTGCTTCTCTAGAAACTACTGTATTCCCCATGGTATTTAGGAAGGGCACTATTAAGAATGAATGTGAGTGACAGTTGCTCAGTCATGCCTGACTCTTTGTAACCCCATGGACTGTAGCCTGCCAGGCTCCTCTGTTCATGGAATTCTCCAGGCAAGATTACTGGAGTGGGTTGCCATTTCCTTCTCCATAGAATTTCCTTTTTAATCATCAGTCAATTTTTGTGCCCTTAGTCCTTTTCCCTTTCCCTTCTGGATACAGAACCTTGTCCAAGTAGGAGGGTCTCAAGCTAACCCTAGCCATGAGTCAGTAGATGGATGTTGATCCAGGTGTCCTGGCTCTCCTGTGACTACTGTGTAGGTTGCTTCCACTATTTTTAAGTTCACAGTGTTCTCTGGTGGCCTTCCTACTCCCATAGGGGCCATTCGACCTCACAGAGCATGTGGAGGCGGTTAGGCTTCATCTTCACCCCATAATCTCCTAATCCCTTCTTTCAAATTTTCACTCCAGTACAGTTGCCTTAGATTCACTTCCCCCCATCTTTCTTACCTTCTCAGACCTTCTTCTACTTTTCCTTTTCATTCTGTCTACGAAGTTCTCAGTACCCTATGTACTTCTCATATTTTCACTCAATGACACTTAAATTGCCATTCTGCCTCCTTCCTAATTGGGGTGAGAAGAGCCTTACCTGCCAGACCCCAGAGGGAGAAGGGGGATCGGCGTGTCTTCACCTGCCAGTCAGCATAGCTGAACCAGAACATCACATGGTCCAAGACTGTTTCTCCCTTAAAGTCCATTCTGCTTTGGCGGGCTTGATCAGGTGCGAATGAAAGCACAGATGGGTTAAATGTCCCATGTCCCAGGCCATCTCCGGAAAAGCCAATTCATACTCACTTCTGTATCCCCCTCGTTCTAGCCTAACAATTCCGAGGGGTTCAAGAATTTCACAGCAGACGGGACACCTCCTGGGGGCGGGCAGAATACGAGCATACAAGGACCAGTTTCCTGTCCTAAAAACCCCCTGGCGATCGCTTGGTAATAATTTTCCCCGAGACGGCATAGAAACACCTCCTAAATGACCATCACAAATTTCCTTCCTAAACCCTAGCACGCTCGCCGACCTTGTGCCAAGCAATCGCTGCCTGCCTACTCCAGGCTCCTGTGGGTCCCCGCTCCTTCTAGTCCCTCCCAGGGGGGTGATCAGGCCCCCTCTTCCCCCCTGCCGGGTGGGTTCCTCCTCACCTGAGCGCTCAGTTCCCCTGCTGCCGTCCACTACCTGCTGATGTGAAAGGTCCGGGCGTTGAAAAGCAGAATCCTTCCAGAGGTGCGAGGCACCTTCCCCCTCTAGGAGATTCGAGCTACAAAGCCTCGGGTTGGCCTCAGTGAGACCTGTCTCCTCAAAGTGAGGAGCTTCCCGGCCAATGCACCAAATGATATAGCCACGCTTTCCGGGAAACAAACTCACTCAGAAGGACAATGCAGATAGTGGAGTGCAGTTTATTATACCGGTTGGCCCAAGGCAGAGTCTCCTCTTAGCCAAGGGCCCCGACCAGCATTTGTGAAAATCTTTTATACCCCATGTGTATGTGTCCAAACCCAGCACCCCAATCCCTTGATGCTTACAAAGGAATGGTAAAATACAATGTTTATGTTACATTTTCTCTTTTTTTATATGAACTAACATTAAGTGTGTTTAGTATACTTGTCCCAATTCATTAATGCTAAAATGCTTTAATATATTTATTTAACTCACAGAGTTTTTAAAGAAATTATTGACGTGGGAGTTTAGAACATTTCCCACAGTGCTTTTTTCTGATTGTTCTTCACTATTAAGCTTATAGATTAGATAGAGAAATCTTTAAGAAGAAATTTTTCTGTTCCAATAATGCTATTTTACAATGTTATGTGAGGTTTGCTCTAGAGAAAGGATAAGTGATACATATACACATTTCCCTTCTTGATTAGATTTCTGTCCCATCTAGGTCACCATAGAGCATTGAGTAGAGTTCCGTGTGTTCTCACCATATTTTTCAAGTCTCACTTCTCATTTGATTTATTAAGAACTCTTACCTTATTAAATTTATCTTCTTTGTTATGAAACATCCCAGGACTTTATGGTTCATGCCATCTATTTCTGATTAGTTCTAGGTCAATATCATTTACTCTTTTAGACTCTATTAGAACATGCTCAGATAACAACATGAGTGGTAAGTAGGTTAAATAATTAGCAGGCATTAGCATTTGTGAAAACGTTTTGCTTGTAAATTTGATTACTTAAAGCAGAAATTACTCATTACACTGCTCAACTTCTCTTTGCTTCATTGTTCCTGTAGGTTTCTATCTTTACTTCTCCTCTGCACCATACTCCCTTTTCATCTCATCTTGTCCTGTTCTGTGTTTGCGGTCTCTGTTCTGCAGGCTGCAGATCCTAGCTCCTCTTGCTCTGGTGTCTGCCCCGTGGTGGGTGAGGCAGTCCAGAGACTTGTGCCCTTATGCTCTTGAGAGGGGGTTGATTGTTACTATTGTGACCAGAGCCTGCCTAGATCTTGAGGGCCACTTCGCCTTTCCTCTGTGGCTGTCACTGTCTGTGGGGGTCTGCGTCCTGACTGGTGGAGCAGAGGCCCCAGATCTGAAATGAGCTCTGCTCTGATCTGTGGTGCTTCTGATCTAGTGGGACTGGAGCACACCCACTGAGAGGGAAGCCACTGAGTGTTGCTCCTCTGGGGATGTTCTCCTTGGAGAGTGCTCTGCGTGTCATCTTTCCTGTGCTGTGCGAGCTCTCGTGTGACCCTGTGTTGGCATTGAACTTGGCCCAACCTGAAGCATGGGTATGCTGGCACTTGACCCTGGTGTCTCTCAGATGTTGTTTTCACCAGGTCACCAGCAGAGATCCACTATGGTCATACCCCAGGTGTATGTGCATTGTGGAGCTGGACCCGCTGCAGTGCTATGGGGGCAATGTAGACTGTGACCTGGCCCAAATGCCTCATGTGCATGCCTACCGAGTCTACAGTTGCTAAAGCAAGACTGGTCTTGACTACCAGAGCCTCATTTCCATCCAGATGTTCTGTTGGGTCTGAGTTTACCAAGCCAGTTGTGGGCTGTAACACCATGGTTTGTACAGATGTAAGGAGAGATCTCAGCTCTTCTTGCTTAGTGGCAGGGCCTTGGGGCTCAGCTGTGGTTTCAGCACCACCTGTCCATTGGGACCACCCACAGGCGTGTGCTCTGAAGGTGTCCCTGGAGCCCATGAGTCTACCCTGGTGGGCAGGAGGCTGGGGAGGAGGAAGCAGCTGTGGGGGTCGTGAGATCACCCACCGAGGTGGGAGCCATGCCTAGTGCCTGGAGAGGCAGGGACAGGCAGAGGGGCAGAGTGGCTGCAAGGAGGTTCTTCCCTTCTGGCATCACTCAACAGTGCCGCTCTGCTTCTCTGGTGGTTCAGGCTTCCTCCACAAGCATCCCATTTGCAGAGCTCCTCCCTCCGTCCCATCCCCTCAGGATGTCTCCTCACGGCCAACAGCAGTCCACTGCCTGGGTCTGCTCTCTGATCCCCACGTTCCAGCACCCAGCCCTTGTCTGCATCGGAGGACACCCTCTCAGACTGGGTGGGAGGGCAGGGGTCAGCACCCTGCGTGCAGGTCTCACTCTGTCCTCCATGCTGGTGGCCGTGTTCTCTTCCCACAGAGAACAAGGCTCCCCTTCTGTCCCAACTGAGCTCCCCCAGTGAGGAGCTTCCCTGAATGTGGAGACATCTCCTCTCTTCAGAACCCCCCAGGGATTTGCGTGTCCCATCCAGCTTCTTTTCCTCTTCACTTTCCTCCATCACTGTCCTGTCCTACCTGGCTCAGCAGCAATCTTTGTTCTCCTTTAAGGTGTCCATGTTCCTCTGCCCGTGTTCTGCAGGGCTCTGTGAGAATTTTTCCACTTCAAGATGTATTCTTGATTCTTTTGTGGAGAGAGATGAACTCCACGTCTTCCGAATCCTCTGCCATCGTGACTCGTTCTATCTCGGTTTTAGGCTTCATCTAGCCAAGTCTATGCCAATTTTATGTACATTGTAAACTATATTCTCCAAGAATAGTAAGTAGAATAATTTATTATTTGTTATTTTTCAGCTGTGTCTTCTCACCACACCCAGGGTTTGAGGTCCCAACAGCCAGGCTTAGAAGATTTACTCCCAACAGCAAAGCTAGGAATATATGAAAGATTTCACCTTGCACATTTACATTTAACCAAAGCCTGGGAATCTATGACGTCATATAAAGAGCAGAGAGCATGTTGTGATGGACACAACCAAGTTGATACAGTTTCCCATAAAGTAAACATTACTGCCAAAAAAAATCAAGGATGTGAATCAAATAAGGAAAACCTAATTTCAGATGACCAATTTCAGTCATCAACATCTGCAGTTAAGTGTATATTTGTCAGCAAAGATCCACATCATGTGTTGAAACATACATGTTCTCTAAAGGGAAATGTGGAAAATCTGGAAAGTCATCTAGTCTCTACTGCAAATACTCATTCAAACCTACACTCTGAGCATAGCTGTCTATTAAATATACATTCAAACATGTCTGGAAACCAGAAGCTTAAACATGAGGGGGAAAATTCCCAATACAATCAATTTGAGGGATCTTTTAACAAGGGTTTCTTGTTCTTGAACCAGCAACTATTTTCTCCTTGTTCCAAAATCTGTAATGTTGATAATAATGGGAGAGAACTTATTCCACCATCATTGTTCAATACACATGGAGGTATAATTAGTGTGGAACAACTTTACAAGTGTAATAAAATGAGGAATGCCTTAAGCAGGAGCTCTACCCCCAATAATTACAAGAGTATACATGATGGAATGAGAAGCTCTTCATGCAATGAAACTGGGCATAATGTGGACCAAGACTCGTATCTCGTGAAACAACAGGGACATCAATATTCAGACAGCAATTCTAAACATCATAAGTGTAGGAATATATTTTATCAAAGCTCAAATCTTACTATTAATACTTATAAGAGTATGGATATTGCAGAGAAAACTTACAATTGTTATGATTATGGTAAAGCTTTTAACCAGTCTTCAAAACTTTTTCAACAGCAGATAATTCAGACTAAGCAGAAACATTGCAAGTGTAAAACATGCGGAAAAGTCTTTAGTAACTCACCAAATCAAAGTAGACATAGGAAAATTCATACAGGAAGGAAACATTTCAAATGTACAGCATGTGGCCAAACTTTTGATCAGAGTTCATATTTAACTGAATATCTGCGAATCCATGCTCCAGAGAAACCACACAAGTGTACAGAATGTGGCAAAGTCTTTATCTGCTGTTCATGTGTTACTCAACATCAGCAAATTCATACTAGGGAGAGACCTTATAAATGTACAGACTGTTACAAGACTTTTAAGCAGCGTTCAGGATTAACTAAACATCAGCGAATCCATACTGGGGAGAGACCTTATAAATGTACAGCATGTGGCAAGGCTTTTAAGCAGAGTTCAGCTTTAACACAACATCATCGAATCCATACTGGGGAGAGACCTTACAAATGTACAGCATGTGGCAAGGCTTTTAAGCAGTGTTCAGGTTTAACTAAACATCAGCGAATCCATACTGGGGAGAGACCTTATAAATGTACAGAATGTGGCAAAGCGTTTATCAATTATTCACTTCTTACTCGACATGAACGAATCCATACTGGGGAGAGACCTTACAAATGTACAGCATGTGGCAAGGCTTTTAAGCAGAGTTCAACTTTAACACAACATCATCGAGTCCATACTGGGGAGAGACCTTATAAATGTACAGCATGTGGCAAGGCTTTTAAGCAGCGTTCAGCTTTAACTGAACATGAGCGAATCCATACTGGGGAGAGACCTTATAAATGTACAGAATGTGGCAAAGCCTTTATCAATTATTCACTTCTTACTCTACATCAACGTATCCATACTGGGGAGAGAACTTATAAATGTACATCATGTGGCAAAGCCTTTATCCGTTATTCTTTTCTTACTCGACATCAGCGAATCCATACTGGGGAGAGATCTTATAAATGTACAGCATGTGGCAAGGCTTTTAAGCAGAGTTCACATTTAACTCAACATCAGCGAATCCATACCGGGGAAAGACCTTATCAATGTCCAGACTCTGGCAAAGCCTTTTCTCAGAGTTCAGGTCGTTCTCAAAATCAGAGAGTTCATGCTGCGGAGAAATGTGAGAAATGTAAGGAATGTGGCCAAGGATTTCCTGACAGCCATCACCTCACTCACAATCAGAGAATTCATACTGCAGAGAAAGCCTAGAAATGAATCAATGATAAAAAATTTGGTCCTAAATATACAATTTTGAAAAAACGAGTGTTTTCCTTGGAAAGATACATAAATGAAATAAAAAAATGTAGAAAACTGCTTAATCAGACATCAAATGTAACTCAGTACCAGAGAATTCATACTAGAAAGCATTTTATTCATACCACTTTTGTTGAATTACTCGAAGCAGAAAAACTGTAGCAAATATTTCATAAGTAAAACATGTACAAAATTAATATGTTAGTATGGATCACAAGATGAAGGGGTGGATATTTGCAGAGGTATAATTATTCATGTATCCTTGTTTATGTTAACGTTATTTGAGATTATTAAGGAACCAAAATGAATGTAATTCAACTCTCAAATTACTACATGCTGTGATTTGTTTCTACTGTATATATGAACTTATCTTTTTGATGGTTGTTGCCCAATCGTAAGAGAAGCCCTTCTATATTAAGTGGGAATCATGTACATTTATTCTCCAATTTATAAGATTAAGAACACAGTCATCTTATATACACACTAAAGCCCTGAATGGAGGTATTTGTCACTGATGTCAAACACCTCTGTGGTCACCATGATGTAAGTGTTTAGGGAATAATTCAAAGTAAGATAGAAGTTTGCCCTAAGTTTTCAATAATTATGTCAGTTGCTTTTTAAGCATAAAACAAGGATAGTTCATGAAAATCTTAAGGTATTTTTATAACAGCAACATAGAGAAATCATGCATATTATGTGGCAAGCTTGAAGGAAGGACACCTTCTCTTCTATCTGATGTCAGTATCGAAAACTCTTTCTGGAAAATTTATATTAATATAATTAATATCCATCCATGTTTACTTAATTAGCCTCCATTTTGTAAACCATATAAATCACATTCTCAGATCACTTCATCAGAGAAACAGGAAAGTTTTTAGAAGCTTGTAATGTGTATTTTAATCAAGGATCAAACAACAATTGTAAAAGGTTTTATTCCATCTGTGTAAAATTAATGTGTCTTGATTAATAAAAGTGAATGGTTTTTCAGTGTTACAGTTGATGTGGAATGAATGAAGGGTTAATACACCACCAGCATTAACCTCTCCCACCTATTTAAGGTTGCAGGAAAGGTAACATAATGATGAACTATTTGTAGCACGGGGGATGGCATCTGTAGAAATTAGTTCCTTAGTGCCGTTACACCTCTCATAACTTCATGTACTTCCCACCATTTCTACATTGTATCTCCTCTCCCATTTTTATCTACTTGGACATCGTGGTGGTTCTAATAAGAAGGATCATACAGAACACTGTTGAGAGCTCCCCTGAGCTGCTCCATGCTGTTGCTGCCTCAGCTTCTGTCTGGGGAGCAGGCAGCCTGCAGGTCCTTGAACTCACACCAGCCGGTCCTGTGAGCACCTGCACTAGATGACCCCTTCCTTGACACCAGCAGTCTTGCTGAACCCCAGGGTCTACTGCACAGGCCCCCCTTCAGTGACACCCTCTGAGCTCGCCAGAATCCTGCTCGTCTTTGTTTGAATGGACCCCTCCACACTCAGCGTGAGGGACCCACAGCACTTCACCAAGGGTCAGGTCTGAAACCCAAGCACTAGAATTTTCTCTGCCTGGTTCTAGCCTTGACCTTCCTCAAGGGCCCTGAAGGCTTGCTGTGAATTCTCTGAGGACCTACAATCATAAACTCACCTGCTGCAATTGTCCTTTGTTCTTCTATTAGCTCAAACTTTTCAGGGGCTCATTTAAGCAAATATAAGCTTAACAAAGTCACAAAAAGAATAATCAAAAGGCATGATGGGAAAATTCTGAACCAAGATTTATAAAATCATACCCTGTATAATTCTTAGCACATGTGTCTTGTAAGGCTTAAAGGAACTGTTTTCTCATGGCTTTGGCATACTTTGAATGCAATATATAAAGATCTGAAGATATATACATAATGTAATTTACATAACACACATTGAATACAAGGTATAAATATCTGAAGGTATACATGTTTGCAGTGAGAAACTCAAGAAGGAATTTGTGAGTGTGTGTGTATTCTTCACATTTAACTTAGAGAATTTAGAGATGCTAGATCAAAACTGGTCATTTCAGAATTGCAGATGATTTACTAGAAACTGTAAAGCTTGTCAATTTGTCAATTAATCTGTTTTGTCTACTTTTCATGGAATTCATTTCCTTAAATGTCAGGAGGTTATGTTTTTTAAGGAACTTCCACACGGCCCACCCACGAGACTGCACCAGCTTACATTCCCTCCAGCCATGTAGGAGGTTCCCTGATCTGCAAGCCCCTTCAGCGTTTATGATATTTTAGTGGGCTTTTTGCTCATTGTCATTCTGACTGGCATGCGGTGATATATCCCTGCAGCTTTGTTCTGCGTTTCTTATTGTTTAGCGATGGTCAGCATCTTTCTTTTGCCTCCTGCCCATAGAAAAGAGCAAGCTGCCCCGCCCAGCCTCAGCAGCTGTGGGGCACAGGCTTAGTCTCCCCACAGCATGTGGAGTATTCCTGGACCAGGGATGAAGCCCTTGTCCCCTGCAGTGTCAGATGGATTCTCCACCACCGGGTGCCCAGTCTGTTTAGCATTTTTTCTTTTGATATATATATATATGTATATATATATATATAGGAATGTAATTGCTTTACAATGTTGTGTTAGTTTGTGCTGTATGACATCATCAATCAGCCATAAGTATACATAAGTCTTCTCCCCCTTGGCCCTCCCTCCCGTGATCTCCGTTTCACCTCTCTGCTCAGCACAGAGCACCAAGCTGAGCTCCCTGAGGTAAATAGCAGCTTCCCACCAGCTACCTATTTTAACCATCAGTTCAGTTCAGGTGCTCAGTTGGGTCTGACTCTGCGACCCCATGGAGTGCTGCTCACCAGGTCTCCCTGTCTGTCACCAATTCCTGGAGCTTGCTCAAACTCATGTCCATTGAGTCAGTGATGCCATCCAACCACCTCATCCTCTATCATCCCCTTCTCCCCCTTTCAATCTTTCCCAGCGTCAGGGTCTCTTCAATGGGTCAGTTCTTCACATCAGATGGCCAAAGTATTGAAGTTTCAGATTCAACATCAGTCCTTCCAATGAATATCAGGACTGATTTCTTTTAGGACGGACTGGTTGGATCTCTTTGCAGCCCAAGGGACTCTCAGGAGTCTTCTCAAAGTTTTACCCATGGTGGTGTATATATGTCAATGGTACCCTTTCACTTGGTCCCCCTCTTCTGCTCCTGCTGTGTCCATGTCTCATCTCTATATTTGTGCAAATATTGTGTTAACAGATATGTATGGAATTTAAGAAATATATTGATGAACTTATTTACTAAGCAGAAATATAAGCGCATAGGTAGTTCTTAACCTTTTGCATGTTAAGCTTTCAAGGCATAAAATACATTGACAATCATTCCATGCATTTTACGGTTGTCGCCATGTGTTCTGGGAAACAAACTGAGTCAGAAGGACAATGCAGATAGTGGAGTGCAGTTTATTACATGGGCGGGGCCAAGGCAGAGTCTCGTCTTAGCCAAGGACCCCGAACAGTTTTTGTGAAAACTTTATATACCCTAAGTGTAGTTGCTCAAACCCACCTCCCCAAATTCCTTGAAACTAGTCAGGACAAGGTAAAAGAGAGGTATGATCGAAGTTAACCCATGATTCATGTGTCTCAGGACTAAACAAATAGTGGATATTTATCAACAGGCCTGTGGTCATATCCCAATAAACAGAATGGAATTTACCACTTTGTTCTGTTACAGAGATAATTAGCATATTCTTTTAGGCAACAGAATCCAAGTACAAGTCCTGAGGCTCTTTTATGGGGGGGCGGGGTGGATCTGATTTCCCATTGGTATGCCACTTCTACAGACACCGGGGCGCAAAGCTCAGAGCCCACCGGGAGGGTGACCGTGCGTGTAGCCTGATGCTCGCAGCCTGGCCTAAGACGGAGTCCAGCTCTGTCTGTTTCCTCCTTCATTACTAAGTGAAAGAAGCCCATTTGAAAATGCTACAAAAAGTAGGATTTTTACAATACGACTTTTTGATGTAGGTAAATGTTCATATGTGCTCAGTCGTGTCTGAATATTAGTGATTCCAGGGGCTGTAGCCTGCCAGGCTCACCTCTGTCCATAGATTTCCCAGGAAAGGCTACTGGAGTGGGTTGCCATCTCTTCCTCCAGGGGATCTTCTTGACCCAAGGATAGGAGCCGCATCACCTGGATGTCCTGCATCGGCAGGCAGATTCCTTACCACTCAGTCACCTGGGAATCTAGTAAGAAATACAGAAGAGATTAAAAAGATACATGATTACCATGGGTTTCAAAGGAGGGACTATGAATAACCTAAGTCTAGAGAACTATCAGGACCATGAAATAATTTGTGTTAAACTGTCATGATGGACACATGTTATTAAACATTTATCTAGAGGTATGGAGTGCACATTCCTAAAAGAGGAACACAGGGGTAAACTAGAGAGTTTATCTATTTACTGCCTGTGTAGATTCATCAGTGGTAACAAATGCTCACTCTGGTGGGGAAAGCTAAGTAGGAAGACTGTCCACATGTAGGAACAAGAGGTATGTGGGAAATGTCTATATTTTATTCTCAATTGTGCTGTGAAATATATCTTCTACAAAGTTGGTACTGGTGAATGCAGACTGAATATTTTTTAGAACACATAATATCAGAAAGATGAATATGCTTCTATCTTTAACTTTTCCTTGGTCATTATACTTTCAAGATGTGGGAAAATAGAGCTC